AACCGGGGCAGCCCCGGAGCGTTGGGTGCGATGCGGATCGGCGGTGCTCGGGGGTGGGGAGGAGAAACATGACCATGGACCTGTCCGAAGCTGAAGCCGTTAAATAGTCAAAACCGTTCCCTGCTCCGCATAATGCAATCTTAATATTGGCTATCAGCTAGGGACCATTTCTATCAGTGATTTAAATATTTTATTACTTCCAAATGAATATTTTGCCAGCAAATTAGGTAGCTGGGAATCAGACACAGCCTGCAGAGAAGCTGCAGAAGGTTGGAGGTTTGGTTAAGCAAACCAAGATCCACTCTGGGGGATCCGGAGGGGATGTGGTTTCCCCTCGGGAGCGGTCGGGGTAACGGACTTTGCCTGACTTCTCCCGCAGTTAAAATGGAGCTGGGTTGTTTGCGCCTTACAAACAGAAACGAAAAAATCCCGTGCTGGGTTCTGGCATTTCTGTGGCCGGAGAGCCAGGACAAAGGAAGGCCAGGCGCTATCCTGGGTGATTTAGGGACAATTAAATCAATCCGGCCACGGTGCAGGACGGGTGGATTAAAAGATGCCCCAGTGAAAGCTGAGCAGGGTGCGGGGTGGAAGGAGACCAACTGTCCCAGGAGAGGTCCTGCTCTGTGTGCGACGGGAGGCTTGGTCATCCCAAACCCGGGGTCCGTCCTTCCCCGGGCAAATGCTCCCAGTTCCGGAGCTCTGGGGTAGACACGGGTCCGTTTTCTCTGTGGACCGGACGGGGCTGGGTGAAAAAGCAGCAGGTCGCAGTCTGGGTGGGAGAGAGGAAACGAAATTCAGATTTATTTTGTTTTCGGTTCTGCAACGTTTAGCTGTAGTTGTGTATTCTGTAATAAACGGTGAAGACCTCTAGTTGTACCAAGAAAGGGCTGGGAGGTGCCAGGCCAGTAGCCTGCAGATATCTGTGGGGTGGAAACGCCAAAAGGACCGGTGGATTGTGTATTGCCAAAGGGACAGGGGCTACCAGGGCGGAGAGCTGAAAGGGGAAAACTTTGGCTGGATGTCAGGCAAAACCTTCCCACCGCTCAGCCTTGCTCCTGTCCGAGCAGCAACGCTTGAATTCCGAACGGGGTCAAAACTGGAAGAATTATTCCCGTGGTCCCATAGAGAGAAAACAGGCGCTTTAACGTGCCTCTGCTGTCCCGGGAGCTCGCGGGTTTGTCCGAGCTGAAGGAAAACTGTTTGAAAAGAGAACGGGTTTAGGCGTGAATTTTAAGAAGGGTCTGATTGCAGGCAGGTCCCTTGCATTTGCATGCTGCTTTTGTTCGTAAAGTTATCGATCTGGCGGAATCCTTTCGATTCTGAACCGCGGAGGATATTTCTGAGATTTTTCTCTTTTGCTCTCTGGAATTGTAGGGCTTTCCTGAAATTCGGGTGTATTTTAGACAAGGACTTTTTTTTCCTCTTTCCTTCCCCCTTCTGGGAGCCACATGTTTCTTAGTTTAATAATATATTTATACGTTTATTTTGAACAAAGGCTGCAATCGTTGTTGGTGGTTTTTTTGTTTGTTGGTTTGGTTTTTTTTTTTTTGTTTTTTTTTTTTGTGTTGGAGTGTTGTTAGTTTTTATCAAAATTTGCTTTTTGTGTACCAGGGGGCTTGGAGGGTGGGAGTTTTAACCCTCGGGGGAGTGGAAGTGGCCTGAGACCTCTCACCCATCCCCTGGCGAAGGGCTTTCATCCGTCTCGGCTTTCCAGCTGCTGATTTTTCAATCTGGTTGTCCCGAGCCGAAAACTGGCTGCGCAAAGGCGGGTTGGGCTGCTGCCCGCCCAGGGCGGTCCGGGGGGATTTCCAGAGGATAATGGGGTAATGCAACCTGGCAGGGAGCAGCTAATGGGATATCGGCGTGGAAGCAGCCAGGGGGAAGGCAGAGGAAGGGAGCTGGCACTGGCTCTCCTAGGGAAGGACCGGTGGAAACCAGCGGGGAGCAGAGTGGATGAGACCTTTGGAGGATTCAGCCGAGGACCGGGGCTCCACGGGAGGATTATTTGCTCGTGGAGATTGAAGAGGCTAAGCACCAGCAGCTGGGGAAGGGCTCAGCACCTCTCCAGACGGGGTGCTGAGGGGATGCTGCTTTATCTCAGCGTGACTACCAAAGGGTTAAGAAACCTCTGGATGCAAGAGGAGGAGAGGGGGGGTGGTTTTCAGCCAGGCCAGGGGTGGGTGCTCTGCCCTGTTGGAGGGAGGGTGAGCGATAGGGACACCCCCGGGTTCCTCACAAGAGGCAGCAGGGTCGGGGGTGTAAGAGCAGCTGCCATTGCTGGTGGTTGCGGGTGCTGGCTGCTGCGGAGGGACCGTCTCCAGAGGGCAGTCCCTGAAAGGGAGGTGATTTGTAATTGTTTAAAGTGCTGTCTTCTGGCATTTTCTGGTTCTCCTTTCACCCTGGCACCTGACCTTTTGTGCACAGAAACACAGGAGATGGGGGGAGGGGGGGGAACTATGTGTCGGCATGTTACCCAGGTTTCTGTAGCTTCTGTGTCCATTTCTCTGACTCTTCATCATCTTTGCTGCTTCTTCTTTCGTTTTTTGATCAAAGAGTTTTACTCCCCTCAGGACAATCTTCACATCCTACCAACTGGAGGAGCTGGAAAAGGCCTTCAATGAGGCCCACTATCCTGATGTATATGCTAGAGAGATGTTGGCCATGAAAACAGAGTTGCCAGAAGACAGGATACAGGTAATCATATCTCTTGGACCCCCTTATGCTGCCCCTCTCAGCTGTGTTCATCCCTCCCTGAAGAAAAGGTAGCAGCAGGGAAGGCTGACATTGCTCTGAATAAACCTCCCCAGCCTGTCCGCTCCCCTGCTCTCTATGGCTAGGCAGCCAGATCAGCTGTTCTTGGCAGATTTGTATTTGCTCTTTGTATGTCAACATGTGCTGTACTGACATGTTGTCCCGGTGATTTTGGGGGTGTATAACAGAGGGAACCCTAAATCATTGAAGGGGAACTGATGTGCAAGGAAATACTGCAGCGTTTTGAGGTCTTGGTGGTATAGGCAAGAAGAGACCCTCCTGGAGAGCAGGTCTGGGTGGGCAGTGTGGGAGGGAAAGTGCTCATCTCTGCTCCTCTGAGCACAGGAGGGGTGGTGCGGGCAGCTAGTATCATTGTGGGTAGGACTGCGGTGTGGGAATGACGGGTGAGTCCCAGGGAGGTGTTTGCACTGTCGCTGCATTTTCACTGCCTCCACAAGTGAAGCTTCCTTTAAAGTTTCTGGGGATGTCTTGGTTTTTTTTTAATGATTTTTGATGTTTGGGGTTTGATTGCATGCCAGTCCTGCCTGCCGTGCCACTGTGAGGAGGCAGAACCAGGCTGTGTGGAGTATCGCCACTCTGTGATAAATCCTCCGGCAGTGAGGAGCAGCCTGAGCAGCAGGGCTGTGCCAGCACCAGCCTTCGACATGCGTGACAGCCAGCGTGCAGGCCACCATCACAGCCCCAGCAACCAGCGAGGTCTTACAGCTGCCGTGTGCAGCGTGGGAGGCACAGTGTGCTTGGACAGACCAACCATGACGTTCACAAGGGTGGACTCCAGCAGCTTCTGCTGCCTCCCTGCTCCCCGTGCCCTGCTCCTGCCGGGTTGCTGCGCAAGGCATGGGAGTGCAATGGCCAAGTCTTGAATCCCTTTTTGCTGGTGCAGGTGATGTTTCTTGGCTGTCTGGGGGTTAAATTGGCCTGCTCCCCCACACAGTGGCTGGGGCTGCCTCTGTGGCTGGTGCGTAGCTGTTTCTACAAGAGGGATTGGCATGAGTGCCACATGGCGTTGGGAGGGTCCTGGTTTCCCTGATTCCTCCTTCTGCTCAGTCTCTCCTCACGCAGGCCTAGCACCCGCTGATCTGTTCCTTCAGCCTGTGCTCTTTCTTCCCTAAGGAGACGGCCCAGGAGGCCGCTCCCTCGTGGGTTTGGAAGGTAGCTCAGAGGGCACTTAGCAAGATAACACTGATGCTGGAAGCTGCTGAGGCATGACCCTGTGCAGGGACAGGCAGATCCTCCCAAACAAAATTGCAGCCCTTTTTCCCCCAGTCTTGAGCCCCCCTTGCTACCCTCATTTTCGTGCTCAATCAAGAGTGACATTTTTATAAAAGCAACTTGTGTTTGTTATCCTGTTCTGCTGGCAGGACTCCTGCTGACCTAACAGCTTGTAGGCAACCTACATGCTGACAGGATTTCCAAAGGTCTTCAGAAATGATGGCCCATCATCTGAAATCCTACCTGATGTGTTAGGACTTTGCTCTGAGCAGCAGGCCCTGGGGCTTTGCCTCTAGAGAGAGTGTGCTGGATGGAGGGTCATTTCTCCACTTGTGACCCTGTAGGACCTCAAGTCAAGAAAGGAGTGACCTGTTGGAAATTTAGTGTTGCCTGCATCCACCGTCTGATGTTGAGCTGGAAAAAAGGTCCTTTGATTTCCCACGAAGGGCCTTTTCAAGGAAGCGGTTCTTCTAGTGGCACAGTGTATGCTGAACTGCAGAGGCACCATTTCTCCTGTGACCAGGGCTGAGGGCCCTCACTATGGGTGAGGCAGAGGGAGGTGTTATGGCAGACAATGCAGAACCGGACATGACACGTATTGTTTCAGCATCTGGAGCATCCTTCTAGTGCTGAGACTCAGTGTTTTATCTGATTTGAAAGTGCAGTGGTGGCTAATGTATCTTAACTGTCACTGACTTGCTGCCAGCATGTATTCTGCGCTGGCTAATGAACAACTGCCTAGTCTTCCTGTACTGCAGAGTTTTTAAAGGTAGGAGTGCTCCTTACTGTGATCCTTCTGCCCCAGAGATCCAGTTAGACTTGGACAGCAGAAGCACCCTGTGTGACTGTTCTAAACTTCAGGTGTTGCTAATGGCACATATATTCCCGGAGAAAGTGCTTGTGAGTGACACTTTTGCTCATCTTGAAAGGGGTAATCATGAGAAAGAGCAGAATTTCTGTGCCCATCTGTTGTGTGAGAGCATGAGCACTACACCAGCGTGCACATCAGGGTCATGTAGGAGTCCTGAGCACCCCTGATGGGGGAGAAGTGTTAGCTCCCACCGATCTTCGAAAGGGATCCCTGGGAAATATTCAAGGTCAGGTTGGACGGGGCTCTGAGCAACCTGCTCTAGTTGAAGGTGTCCCTGCTCAATGCAGGGGGATCGGACTAGATGACCTTTAATGGTCCCTTCCAACCCCAACTATTCTATGATTCTATGATCTTTCCAATGAGTCAGCACCCGATTGTCGCTTACCACATAATCTGTGATGTATCCTTGTCCATGCTTTTATTTTTGTGTCACAAGCCATGACAAGGTGATTCCCAGTCTTGGTCACGCTTCTTGTTATCACACTTCATGTTGCTTTTCAAAATAAGCCCTTTTGTATGAGCCTAATTCTTTCCCCCTTGTTGTAATGTTCACACTCTATAAATAAATCTAAGCTGTTCACCTGTTTTCTTCTCCTGGCTGTCACTTTTGGTTTTCATCATCACTTAAGCAAGCTGTGAAGATCTTTTCTTTAATCATTCTTTATAAATCATACGCTAGTCTCTTAATCATGTGGTTGTTCTTCTGTGAAGCCCATCCTGCCCATCAGTCTGCCTGGAGATACGGGACCCGTGTCTACAGCTGTACACTGGGTGTGTTCATACCGATTCGGCCGGACTTCTGAGTCCTTGCAGAAACAGCCTTGAATTAGCACCAATCCACTTGCTTCTGTCTTTATTTATTTCTATTTATCTAATTCAGTCACTTCAAGATCTTTTTAGACAGATCTCATTTATCCTCAGGCTTTTCCCTTCAGTGTTCTGGGTTTCAAATGCCATTTTATTAACTTTGGCTAACAAGCATAATAACGGCCCTACCATCACTGACACTGGCAAGAGGTGGATATTAGAGAAGAGTATGAGAGTAGGGCAACTATTTAGCAATACTCACTGAGTACTTTGACAGCCTCCTGGGATTCTGAACACATGTAAATATCCTAACATCCCATGACAAGGAGTTCTGCAGCAGAACTGCACAAGTGAAGTAAATCTTGCTCTGAATCTATTAGCATCATTTGACGCTCCTTGGAAGAGTCACCTGACAATGAATTTTTATTCTTTTCTTCATGATATTTATAATTTCATGTCATCTTATGGTTTTTTCCTTGCGTGAGCTTCTAGCTGCTCAAGGGAGCTCTATATTTTTGCATTTTCATTGTAGCTCACAGTTCCTCCCATCTTTCCACATTGTTCTTTCCCTCTTGTAGGTCATTAATGAAAGCATTTTCTAAGATTGTTGTGAACATCACGGCATTTCATGCGGGTTCCCACTGGATCCACACCTAAGAGTGATATCTACCACTTATTTTCATTCATGGACTTATTTCTCAGGAGGTAGTAGTCAAAGAGAAAGTAAATCACCTATGAAATTCAATATGAAAGTGAAATTCAAAGAATGCAATTGAGAGAATGATATATAGGAACTGCTTGCATGTAAAACCTTCAGCAGAACACTACAAATAGCCATCAGAGGCCAAGAAAGTTATTGGTTTGAGAGAACATTGAATTCAGGAAAAAAATATTCAAATCCTCTATTTAAAGAGAAGATGAACATGTGTTTTTTTTCAAGGCAGCACTCTTTCTCATTGCATCCATCTTCCTCCCGTATTAAGCTGGCTGCTCTTAGAAGGAACAGGAGCATCCTCACATCAGGCAACATGGGAAAAGAATTTCATTTCCCCAGTGAGACACTTTGCGCAAGTCAGACCAGATGTCACTGCGGCCATTTTGCAAGATACTTGAAAAAGACTGCATTAATCCATGTGTTTGAAAGAGTATTCAGAAGAATTGAAGTGCTGCTATTAGAATAAACCCAGACATTTCTGTAAAATCCAGGTGGGGTAAGTAGATAGCAGATTCCTGTGGGGAAGTATAACCTTAATAGACAACTTGAAGTATTCAAAATGGCTTTAAACTGACAAGTATTCTGACACCTGACTTAAATTGGTGTCTTTCTCATAAAAGATTCTTTAAGCATAATGTCTAGATTTTAGATAAGTTATACCTATTGAATTTATTAGTATGTGACAGTTCCAGACTTTAAACACCTGTATCTACAACATTAAAGTTCAGTTTGATTAGGCATTATTGAAATGACTGTGTATGTTTGTCATTATAGTATATCTCCTACTCATCAAATAAATCAAGCAATCTGTTCAGTATTTAAAAAAAATAAGATCCTGGCTGCCATTGTGGGGACACTAGATTCACCTTTTAAGGGAACTAGTCAATTAAAACAGAGAATAAAAATTTTCAGTTCTTGTTGTTACATGATTGTATGGTAATTACATGGATGAACTATGTTGGGACAAATAAAATTGCTTGTATAAGCAAAAGGAACCCCATGGAGACACTGGTGCCATGTGTGAGGAGCGGGGACTGTCTGTGTATCGAGCAAGATTTGTCAGGCAGCTAAGAGGTCAATTTTCGCTAAAAACAAACACAAGCCAACTAAAATTCTAATTGAAATGTATTGTTTTAGCTGCTATCAGATTAACACACATAGGGCCATCCTTGCTCCCACCCATTCCCAGCTCCTTGCAGCACTGGAGCCGTACTGGTGTGCTGCACTGGGCACCAGCAGCTCTTCTACCCAGTTCTTGTGTCTAAAAGGACAACGCCTGGATCTGTGACCCTCATAAAGAGGGTCCTGGCTGTCAGG